TGGCGATGGCATCATTACACTGTGAATATACTCAATGCAGCAGAACTTAAAAATGGTTAAGAGGAGAAACTCTGTTATGTATATTTTATATAATAAAATTTATAGCCAGTGCGATGGTGCTCATCTGTATCCCCAGCAATTGAGGAAGCTGAGGCAGGAGGGTTGCAAGTTCAAGATCAGTCTCAGCAACTTAGGAGGTTCTCAGCAACCTAGCAAGACCCTGTCTCAAAATAAAAAATAAAAACAAAAGAAATGGAAACATAGTTCAGTGGCTGAAGTCCCCCTGGGTTAAATCCCAAGTACCAAAAATTAATTAATTAAAAATTTTAAATATGCATGGCTAATTTTCAGACAGTAAAGTGCCGAGCGTCTGCACAGGCTGGGACCAAGCGGAAGGTGCACAGAAGTTTCTCTGGACAGTAAGCCGAGTCGAGGCCTTGAAGGGTGGCACAGGACCGTGGGGATGAAGAAGCAGGCAGGAGCGGTGAAGTCACTGGACGATGGGTGAGGACCAGTGCCCCAGGGCCCTGCAGACCTCACGCAGTCCCAGGGCTTGCGGGGGAAACAGGCTGGGGACCTGTGGGCCACCCTCCAGGGGGACAGTGCAGGGCATGAGGTGAGTGGGCGGCAGCTCTGCTGTCTGTCGGGCTGGCTGAATGTAGCAAAGACGAATACAGGAGGCCGGGTACCTGTGAATTTCAGGTTAGCCTGTCTCTGTGATGCGTGACGCAGGCTCGCACTAGGGATTATTGGTGATTTATCAGAAATTCGATTTTAGCTGTGTCCCGTGTCTCCTCTGCCTACCCCGCTCTCTTCTCTGAAAGGGTCACACTGCCTTTGCAGGATTCTCTTCTTGCTGTCCCGAGGGCCTCCCCAGCTAGGCCTCCCCTGGCCTCACTCCCTGTCGCTTCAGCTTCTGTGCCTTCTGGGCCCTTCGCAGGCAGAGATGGCCCAGCTCCTATGTCTGTCTGCTTTCTCTTCTGTTCCCCCCTGAGCTGTGGGCTCAGCACGCCCAGGGACCTGCCACTGCTCTGTCCCCCGGACCTAGCAGGTGCTCAACTAATATTTACCGAAAGATGACCGCACTGTATCCCACAGGGCCGGCCCATTGCCCGGTGAGGGATGAGGTCAGCAGGGGCCCCTGGGCACTGGCCATTTCTGCCACCCCGGCCTCTTGCTCTGACTAAGGCTCGGGGCTGAGGAGGGACCTCTGTCCTGCACCTCCCCACAAGACCAGCCTCCTGTCCACAGACTCCCACGCAGCCCCGCTGCCATGGCAACGGCAATCCGAGGTCACAGCGCTGGAAACCAGAGGACTCCTCCCTCCTGGAAGCCACCGCGGAGCCGGAATCTAATTGTCATTACAGCCATAATAGTGGTCGTGCATAATCACGGGCATTAGAGCTCGGTGCCTGTGATTGTTTGGTTAACATTCAGGAATTCGGGTCTAGGTAAAAAGTGCTGGTGGCCGCGGTGTTCACTCTCACAGTGCGCTTGAGCTGTTTTTAAGAGCCAGTCTCTCTCCTGGGCAGGAACCTGCTTTAATCCCATTATTAATGGGTGGCGGAGAGGAAAACACCACGGGCTCTGCCCCCGGGGCCCTGGCGGCCATGGGGGGGCTGGACACAGGCTCCCCACCTAGAGGTCTCCCCTGGCCTCCGCCTCACGGTGTGACCCAGAGCAACCGGGTGTCCACTGCTGTGACCCAAACACCCGACAACTGAAGGGGGGAAGCGCTCGGTGCTGGCTCCGGGTCCAGAGGCTTCGGTGCTCGCTGGGTCAGCTGCACAACTCGGGCCTCAGGTGAGCTCAGCACCTGGCAGAGGGGCCGGGAGGAAGCAGGCCAGGGCCCGGCCAGGCCTCCCCACGTCACGCCACCCACCGCAGTCCACTCAGATCACACGCCCTCGGGGTGAGTCTGCTGCAGGGGACAGACCCTCGGGATCCGATCACTTCCCCAAGTCCCCACCTCGGTACCTGGCGGCACCGGGGACCAAGTCCTTCACATCAGGCTTCGGGGAACCTTCCAGATCCAAGCCATGTGCCTCCTGGGCCTGTTTCCTCAGGGGGAGCAGTGACAGGGTTTTAAAGCAGCCACCGGCTGACACTTCCTGAGGCTTTGGTCCTTGGCCGGCCAGTGGGGACACAGACGCATCCCTGGGGAGGAGAGTGGGGGGGGAGAAAGGGGAGCCAGGGGCGGAGGGGCGGCACCCACCCAAGCACAGTGGGGGCACGGGCTGAGCCCGGGGGAAGGCGGGCTGGGGTAGAGGTGGGTGGGCAGCAGCACCCACGAGGCCCTCTAGCCCGAGGGAGCCACCCAAGAAGGGCCGCCCGGGAGGGGCCTGGCCTCAGGTCTGCAGAGCAAGGGGGGGGGAGGAGAGGCCAGAAGGAAGGCGCCGTCCCCCTGATGGTCATCTCCGTGGGCTGGGGGTTGGGACAGCTGGGGTGCAGCGGGGGTCAGCAGGAGGTGGGGAGGAGTCCAGGGAGTGACGGGCGGGAGGGTGGCTGCCTGCCTAGGCCCTGGGGAAGCCACCAGTCACAGTGTCCCCTGCCCAGGGGGAGCCTGCCGTCGGCCAGTCAGAGGTGGGCAGAGCGGGCTCGGGCTGTGCCACCCTCCACTGGGCACTCTCTCCTCTGCTCCCCCCATCATACCCCTGGACCTCTCAGGCTGTCCAGTCATATGGCTCTGGTCCAGCCACACGGTCACCTTGGCCTGGAGCACCTGACCTGAGCTGGGTGGTCATGGTGGGCAGAGCTGGGGCCATTGTCCAGAAGAGCCTGCAGCCTCCTCAGCCCAGAGAGCAGCAGGCCCGGCCCTGTGGTCCTCAATGGTCCTGCGTCCAGACCTCGTCCGTCCAGGGTTGTGGGCTGTGCCCAGCCCGGCCCACAGACGGCCAGGAAGTCCGTGCTCGGGAGAGCGCCGGGAACAGGGCCTGGCCCTGGCAGGACACATGGGAGGTGGCATGACAACCCAGGGCCGCACAGGGTGATAGGGCCTGAGGGGACAGTAGCAAGAAGAGAGCAGGGAGGGGCCCATGTCCAAGGAGGCAAGGGGGAGTCAAGGCCATACCAGGTCTCCAGGGACGTGCCTTCTGAAGCCCAGGGCCCAGGAGGGACAGGTAACTGGCAGAAGTGATAACTGGATTGGACACTGAGCCCGAGACCCCTCGCCTGTAGAACACCCGGAGGAGGAGTCCAGCAGGCCTGCCTCGAGGGGACCGGAGAGAGGCCACTGGAGGTCAGCCTGGGCACTCAGCTTCGCAGGCAGCGGGCTCAGGACGCAGAGCTGCTGGCCCGAATGCCACGCCGGGGGCCTGCTCTCACACCCAGGGCCGCGGCCTGCTCTGCAGAGGGGCTTGGCCATCTGAGGGTAAGATGCCCCTTTGGGCCCAGCCAGGCCGCCAGGGCTGGGCCAGGCCCGTTCACAGACCCACAGCAGAGCCGGCGTTGGTGTCTGCACACACACGAGCACACACACGAGCATGCAGACCCTCACACAGAAAGCACATCTGTGTTCGGGCCCCTGGGCCTGCACCCACAGTGAGGCAGGTGCCCCAGGTGGATAAGTCCAGCCCAGGAGCACAGGCATCTGCACCCAGCATCGAAGTTGCCGGGTCTCTTGGCCTCTTGCTGGAGGGCAGGGAAGAGACCCACGCTACCCAGGGGACGTGACCGGAGGAAAGGAATTCTGGGTCTTGCTGCCTAGAGCACCCCCCCTCTGCCAGCAGCACACCCGCATTTCCTTGGCCTTTTTTCCCTTCCCTGCTCCCAGGCTGTGGCACAGAGGTCACCCATTCCTGGTTCTCAGAGTGGCCTGGTGACTTGGGACTGGCCAATCTGAGCAATATCCCCACGGCCTGGAGCCCATTGAAGCTGAGTGAGAGGCCTCCCCAAGGACATGCCAGGCTGTCTGGACAGACTCATATTCACCTGGCGTGGGTAGACAGGCCCAGGCCGCTGGTGGCCTCATGGAGACGAGGGAAGCAAATGTAGAAGCCAAGAAACAGAGAGGGACTGCATCCTAGTGACACATTAGAATCCTTGATCCAGCCGAACCTGAAGCCAGTCCTATCTCTGTGCTTTTTCATAACTCGAGCCACTATTTTTTTCCTTTTTCTTTCCTCCCTTCCTTTTCCCCTTCTCTTCCTCCTTTTGTGCGTCCCTTTTCATTCTGAAGCCTGTATGAGTTGGGTTTTCATCTTTTGCAGCCAAGAAAGTCTGATGCTAATATGAATTCAGAAAACAGAGCCAAAGGTGACCCCTCGCCCTAGATCTCAGCCACACCACCAGAGAGTGAAAGCCACTCCAACTCCTCCCCTGCCCTGAGGTCCCCACCCCCCCCAGGCCACACACCTTTCCCTGGGAAACACCCAGCCTGACACAGCCGTCTGAGGAAAGAAGAGCCAAGACCCTGGAGAAAGTCCTAAATAGGTATCTGGGTTTTATTCAAAACAACACTGGTGGGGTGGCCGCTTGGTCTCTCTACGCCTGGGCCATCTGGGCCCGCAGGGACCAGCGCCGTCAGCAACTAGGAGGGAAGTTCATTCACACCATAGAAACTGTACAGTGATGGGGTGGGGGTGTGCTGCAGCCACAGCGGCCGAGCCAGCCAAGGGCTTCCTGGAGGAGGTGACCTCGGCCTCCTCCGCAGGCCCCAGCTTGGCTCTGGCTCTGCCAGAAACATTGATTATTGCACAAAGACAGAAATATTTATGTGTGTATGGGCTAAACAGTGGCTTCTAAGACCCCAAGCCCTTACACAGCGCAGCAAAGGGGGCTGGAGCGGCAGGCTCCCAGGGAGGGACAGGAACAGGCAGACAGGCTGATACTGTGCGCTTTGTCCTCCTTCAACGGGCTGCCTGGGGCAGAGGACATTGCAGGGAAAGGAGGGAGCGTGGCCAGGGGCAGGCCGCGGCCCGTCTTGTCCCGAGGCCCTCTCTGCAGATGCCAAGGTGCCCACCAGTCTCCACTCCACAGAGCCTGGCAAACAAACAGCTTTAGGGGAGTTGGC